CTTACCTTTCTGGTCACTTGGAAAATAATTTCATTTGACTCAAATTCAGGAGCGTATGCTGGCTCATCAGCAGACATTAAATCTGAAGCCTAGAAAAGAAGAAACTGAATTATAGGGCAGCTCACGCTTTAAGGCGTGAGCATTGACACGCCGAAAAACTTTAATAGAAAACCTTTTTTATCTGTGGTTTTAAAGGGGAAATATTATGTGTTTCTCAGGCATATATTTAAATACTATACCATAATAAAGTAGGCTATATGTCACCTTTAGCTGTTATCAAAATGCTGTTTTTATGTTTAAATAGAAAATAAACTTATCTTCTCATCACTTCCTCTTCTAAACGCCTTGAAATTGGCCTCTGTCTCTTTAAGAACCACCTTCTGCTTCTGTCTCGCCAAAGACAGTTTAAGTTTCACTTTCACCCGAGAGCCTGCAGGAGTCATGGGCGGGGCATGTGGGGGTGGGGAGGTGTTTTCCGTGATGAGGAAGTTTGGCTTCAAGACACATCCCAGGGGCATTTCTGGTCCCCACCTGTCGTTTTGCTCCTCAGCATGGCTTCATAAAAACACTGCAAGATTTCTCAAACATGCATGAATGAGTCAAAGCAAGGCTTTGGGCATGTTTTTATGATAGTATAACATTATAACATGATATAAAACTCCAAAAAGTTGATTTTACAGGATATTGCCCCTTTAAAATGGAGAATCGGCTGTTTTTTAACGTCTTTTTGTAATAAATGAATGTGAATCATTTTGTTACAGAAATCCCCAACCCTACCCTGGACTGAGATTACAAACTGTGACTGTAAAGTTCTTGCTTCCAACCTTGTACACGTAGGGGTTCTTCCGGGAGTCTGTCAAGATGTCGAACCGCGTGTACACGTCGTTGAGCAGGTTGACGATCTTGATGGCTCCCTCGGCCGAGGCGTGTTTGCTGCAGAACGCGTTGAACCCCACGATGCCGCTGAACAGGATGGTAACGTTGTCGTAGCGTTTCGCTGGAACCGGACGTTTGTGTCGCAGCTCGTTGGCAACAGATGGAGGCAGAACAGAATAGAGCAGCCTAAAAAATAAATGAAGAGAAGAACAAGCATTCAGATGAAGGATGGAGTTCCATTTGCTCAGCACAGTGAGGAGCAGGGGCTGCCAGACTCCAGTCCACCCTTGGATCAGCGTTTTATTTGCTCTCCCACCACCTTTTGGTCACTTTGCAACGTAAGCTGCTCTCAGACTGGAATGGTGGTGTTTCTATGGCAACTGCTAGATGGTGGCTGCCTCGTTACAAGCACAAGAACTTTCCTTGATGTATTGAAACATCAAAACACATGGGGATGGAAACCACACCCTCAAAACAATATGAACTAGAGAACACTTAAACRTAACATTTAAAACACAAAGTGTTTTTCCCTGACACACACCAGAAACAACATGTTCTTATCAGAAACTGTAGTGACGTGAAGAGCGGTTCCCTTAAATGTTAAGAGGGGAAAGTGTGAATTTCAATCAGYGTTTGGAGCCTGAAACAGTTTGATGCTGGAGTACTGGCAGAATAATATTACAGGGATCCAACGGGAGAATAAAAGCCTTTTCTTATATAGAGATTTGGTYGTCTTTAAATAACACCCCCTCCACCTTTGTGACTGTTGCCCACTGGTGTGCTGAATTACTATGGCAGGCCAGACCCTAACCTGTGTTCAGGGTATCAGGAGCTACAGATTAGCTGGGTAAATATCAACCTGCATAATAAAGTCAGACCCCAGGTGTTCCTGTTGTCATGTCGCATTATTAGAACCGTATGAAACTGAGACATTGTACGCTGCTGTAGTGTAAATAGTTCCTCTGCAGATATCCCTCACAAGTTTATTTTTTAATCTCACAAAATAAACTGTTGAACAAACTCCACCACTTTACAACATTTGAATATGAGGTTTAATCACTGTAGAGGAATAATCTGGACTACTGGAAAAATCTGGACTACTATCACTTATTTACAAGTCATTTAATTATACTGAATATGTTTATAAGACTAGCCTTATAAAGACTTATAAAACACCTAAAAGTGTCATAAGATGCTGTCATACATTACTGCAGGCTCAGTATTTAGAGATATTAATGCTGTCGTTTTTTTAAACAGTTAAATTGAATATTTTGCTTGTTGTGTACCTTTATTTTTCCTGTTGGTCACTCTACTTGTTAGACTCCTTTATTATGGTGTTCCTAAGAAATATTTAATGTTGAAAATGTAGCAGATGAAGAAGACAGAGCAATCAAAGTAAATAACTTGAATAATGTAGCTGTAGGCTTGCTATTTGGGTCCTTCTTACTCTTTTTATCTAACAGACTGGAACTGAATATTGCTGGTTTAGAAAGTGTTTACAGTCTAGTTAATTGTCAAATGATTATCTTTGTATTAGTCTTAATGTGAAAGTACTAGAATATGATTTAGTTTAATGTTGCTTTGGGTAAGCCTGTTTTTAAGCCTTTGCTATGTTTCTATTTCTCCTCTGAAAATTGCTTGCAACCTTTTAATTTTTACTTACTAAGCAATTTTGTCAAAGCAGCAAATCTAGCATTTTGTTTCCTGGGGACACAATAGAATTGTGAAAAGCTGCAATATTCTTGTGAGCTGCAATTGTGAGCTGACTTTTTCAGCAAATGTTTTACATATAAATATAGACACAAGAAGAGTCCGTGGTTAACTATTGCAGTTTTTGATGAGAAAATAGGAAGAGAGGAAATTAAATAAACTGAGATGATAAGCTAATTAAAGGAAAGTATTCATTATTACTTTAATGCTTTGCTTTTTCACTTTATTTTATAACAGTTTGGATTATTTTTTGCARGAAAATTCATGATATATATGTACTGTATATTCCCATGCTGTTTTAGTCATCTAGTGGTTTGTGTGATTTAAACTAGATGAGCAACTTATTTTAGGAAAAAAACCCAATCAAACCTATCTGTTTTCTTCTTCTCGTCCTCCAGGGCCCGCAGTGTGTGCTGGAGACGATCTGTCAAGATTTCCAGCTCCTGGGTCAGCTTATACTCCTCACGAAACTGCTCGCCCAGCAGCACCAGGTCACGTGTGGCATCATGCAGTGGGATGTCGCTCAGGTAAAGCCCCCGCCGTGTCAGATCGTCCAGGTTCATAACACTGACCACAGCAATACAGAGCAGGAAACAAGAGAAAACAGGGAAGTTGTGAAAAACTTTTATTTTACTTTTATTTTTAGAGCTCTTTTTTTTTGTCTTTTTTTTTTTTTTGGAAATGATAAATTTCCATCTTTGGTGGCAGGAACGCTGTAGAAGTGCATGTTGTTCTTATTCTTATCGTGAACCAGTATAAATTAAACACATCATAAAGAATGAAGCGGTGAGATCATCATCCTGGCTGAGCTTAGTGTCTCCGAATAAATGATGGTCTTGTTGAATGAGGTCAGACACTGTTCTATAAGGCTCTTCTCTGATAAGGTGAATAATGTTTTTTTTTCTTTTTAGTTTCTGTTGGTTAGTTTCTGCTCTGCAGCAACCATTCTATAAAAGCTTTCACAGAATGGCATGAAACAGAATGGAAAGAATAAGCTCTATTGAACACACTTCCCTGGATTTATTTCCAACAAAACATTTTTAACAATTCTTCCTTAAATTTACGTATCCAGATTAAAAAAAAAAACTTCTTGATATTTTTTTTTATTTGAGTGTTTCGACTTTAACACCGAACATGTGTGCAAACATGAACTAGCATCTCCTTCTGAGCGAGTGAAGTTTTCATCTTTTTCTTCAATAAATAATGTTCTTTTTTTTTGGTTAAAGATGTCCACAAAGAGATGTGTGCAATCTGAATCTAAATAGAGTCATTTTTATCAAAGATAAATTCATTAATGAGCCGCTTAAAAAGGCTGAAATATGGATTTCWATTTGTTTTGCAGCAATACGTCTGTTGGTTTGTTTGCTGCTTTTCACAGTGGGTCCCTAAGTTCCCTACACCAATTTAATTTATGAAGTTTTGGACACACCTGCACATTCATTTTGAATAGACAGGTGAATATTGCAATACATAACGTACCTCTAAAAGATAATGCAAACCTTTTAAAACAGCAAAAACTGAAGTAATTAGGCTGAGTTATTCAGAAAACATCTGAACAGGATTGGAATAACTGATAGGATTATTAATTGATTCAAATGTGGTGAAGGTGATGTTTCATAATCAATAATTTTGTTTGATAAAATGGTTCCAGTTTTTTTAATCATTATCCTCTTACAGTTCTCATTTGCTTTGTCTTAGGCTCTTGTCTTAGTTTCAGTTTTGCAACTGTTTCTGTCTCCTGACAGGCTTTGTTTTACTTCAGATTTTCTTTATGTAATTCCTCCACCTGCCTGATGTGATGTTTTGTGTTTGGACCCTCCATTACTGCTGCACACACTGTGACAAACTGCATTRAGGCATAACATCCACGCTTTGGACCTTTCATACTACCTGGAGTAGATTTACTCGTAGTTTGGATGGTCATACGAACTGCTTCGTTGATGAAGCTGTAAACTTGGTGAACATGATGTTTCCAGAAGAGTCAAATGTAGCTGCATTCTTCCCAGTGAGCATAAAGGTAAAATGGTAATAAAAGAAACTTTACAKTTAAATGCTGATCTGACATGGGTATGAACAAACTAGAAAACAGAACTAAAATGACCAAAGTAACGTTGTTTTTACTGCACTGTAAAATCTATTTCCATAACACACACTCAATCCTAACGTAACAGAACCTCTTGCAAACTTGGAAACATATGGGAAACTGACGTCAAACCAAAAATGCAGCAACTTTATAAAAAGGACAGAATCTTGTCCACAAAACCAAAACTGTCTTTGAGATCCCTTAATGCAGCTACGAACTTCTTTTGAAATTTAATGCCCTTAAAAGGCTTTAAACAAATTAAGGATGAGAGCCGAGTAAGAACAGCATCTGATAAATGTCTATACTCCCATGTGAACTAAATTTGTTTTTAAACCTTTTTTTTTGTGCGTGTGTGTGTGAAATACAGTTTATTGTCTCTGCCAAATTTGACATCAAGAGAAGTCTTTGCTTGATTTATTGTCCTTTAAGAGACGGCATGGCGAAGAAAATTAATGATACTCTTAAAAGATAAATGTTCATTTTTCATACTTTACAACATTGTTTTTTTATGTTTGATTAGAAAGGACCTGGACCAAACTAATGGTTTTAATCCCAATAGTTATTACTAAGCAGCTTTTTCTACAGTAAATGAAGAAGTATTGAAGTATTTATTTATTTATTTATTTATTTATTTATTTATTTATTTAGCCGTCCATTCTTTTTGCATGTGTTTGTGTAAGATATSATATTTAAAAGCACAGTTGTGGTAAGTGAACAAAGCGATGCGCCAGAAATGTGTCAAATTCTATAATTACTGTGCTGCTTCCTGGTGCTCAGTTCCCACTTGCCTGTYATGCTACTGCTGCCCAGGTGATGATGGGAAAAAAAAATAAATTGGAAGAGGAAGGAAAGGGGCCAAAAGGATGACTTACAAGTTAGTGATCAAGCAAAAGACATACAGTAAAGTAAAACAAACTTCTGTATTTCCTATTCGAGACTAAAAAGACACTTTAAAAGGCATATTCACAGAGAGCAAATTCATTTCTTGTGCCAGGGGAAGTGCATAAAGCCAACATCCATGGTTATAAACAGATAAACAAAAAGTGACAAAACGAATCTGTTTTTATTTTTTAACATCACCTGCCCACATTTCAGTGATGTTGCGCTCTGATTATCCCTGCAGGTCCACAACCGTTCCCTCACACCCGAAGTGTTGGCACCCTCAAATGTGTTGCAAAATGTTTCTTTACACAGAATTAATGCTGTGCTTTAAAACCTTGACAGTTTGGAAACTGCTTGGTTCTACTGTATAGAAATGCATATTGTCTACATTTTGTCACCGCGAGGCACATAAGACAAAACTGGAAAGTTTGAAGAGCCAAGCCAATTGCTTTTATTAAACCTGATGATGCATTAGTGCTCAATGAAACTCGTAGAAGTGACATTAGAAAATGCTAAAGCTTCTTACATTAGTACTTTCTACTTTGTTAAACGTGTATTTGATCAAAGATCATGAGTGTGTACCCCAGGGGTGTCCAATCCTGGTCCTTGTGGGTCACTATCCTGCATGTGCTTGTTTCCCCTATTGTTTCCCTGATCCAAAACACCTGATTCAGTGATTGAACTACCACTTTAAGTTCTGCACAAACCTGTTAATCACGGATTTATTCAAATCAGGTGTTTTGGAGCAGAGAGGCGTCTAAAACACGCAGGAAAGCGGCCCTTAAGGACAAGGATTGGACACCGTTGGTCTACACCATGACTAAACTCATGCACGTCCACACAACAAGCAAGCAGGGATATTTATCTGACTCTAAGCACTGATTGTGATCAGAACTGCTGTCTATATATTTCACAGCAAAGTGATAAGATAATGGTATTGGGAGAATACACTGACATTGGGGAGCAATTCAGATGTAGACGTTCCTGAAATCCCTACCTTCATGAATCTMCAATAATCTGCTCCCAGTAGACTTATGAGTGCATCATTTATCCACAACAAGATTGAGCCTCATGTTGTGTGTGATACAAGCAAATATGTTCCAACTTTCATCATTTATCACATTCCAGTATTTTAACCCTCATGCCCAGTTTACCCTACTGATACAGTGATTTGTAGTGTTAATGTTACAACTGGTACTCCTTCCACCTTCCTCTGAGGACTCCCAACTCACATGCAGTGCATGAAACTCACACTGCATGTCCTTTTCCCCCGACACACTTGTGAACAAATCTGTAAGTCATTCTGCTGCTGCACCGACAGAGGAAACTGAATTGCTCCACACAGACAAGATCACAAGGTGAAAATCAGGCCCTTAACAGTTGAAAGAGCTTAAAGCTACAATGAGAAATAAACACAAAAGCAGCCCACACATCTAAATGTGACAAACAGAATTATACAAACTCTTTTTGTAAATGTCAGGAATTGCTCGCAGCTGTTTTACTGCGTCCTGTTTACKTACAATAATGTGATGCTGCTAATGCTGCAGGTCAATGAATTAGTAAATAGTGTCAAACAGATATTAATTTGTTGGTTCATCATCCACATTAAACTCTCCCTAAAGCTGGGATGTGTAACAATAGCAGGATCAATCTGTTAAATGGCATTCAGTCCATCAGACATCAGTAACTTTTGAATGTATTCTACCCACAGCTTCAATCAGACGCGTCTGTGAACACGAGCTGCTGCGTCTGCACACTATTTACTATTCAATCAAGACTGAACCGTAAATCAAGTCAGGCTGTCACCTTCCGAGYCACAACAGCGTGTATTAGTGTGCCAAGTGACCTGCAGTAGTTATCTATTAGATAAAGCTGCAAATATCAATTTATCACACTTTATAAGCTCTCAGCACTCAAAATGTGAAAAATGTATTGCATCACTCTAAAAGCCTAATTGTGATCAACTCAGAAATGTGATCTTTGTCTAAAACAGACTCCAGTATAAGAAGCTCCACGCTCACAAACATCAAGACCTTCTAGAGTCACTGTTTTATCATAACAATATGCCATTATTGCCATTAAACTTCACCTCAAGCCGACACACAAGAAGCTTTTTTCTTAAACAGGCACAAAAGAAGGAAAAAATAATAATTAGTGCACAAAAGGTTTAGTAAGATATCAAACATGATTAATCATCATCATCAGGTTATTCTTAATTATGTGGCTCAGGCTCTGAGAAGAAATGACAAAATAGTTAAATATATAGGTGAAAACACAGATGAGGATGTTTTATACAGTGGCATTATTTTAATAGTTAGAAAAAATGTTTCAAATTCTTCTGAGCTGCTGAACCGATTGACTTGAACGACAGAAAACTGCTGCAAGTTTTCCCAAAAATGTGACTTTGACACAAGAAATCAAATGATTTGTTGAAAATGAAACGTTATGCAATCATCAAGATTTCTTCCCCTCAAAAAATACTAAAACTACAAAGTGAATAATTCAGGCCCAACATGTAATATACTGTAAAGCACTGAAAGCCAAAAAAAAAAGGTAACTTTAGTGTTGAGGAAACATTTCAGATATTTTAGCATTTTTTAAAGGATTCAGCTCAGGGTTTTTCTTTGAGAAATATATTTAATCACAGTTTTACCAATACAACAGACAACAGTGAGTTCATTTACCCCATTAAGAAAGGTTTTATGGAGCTGTGAAATCATAAATGCTACAAACAYATTTACAGACTAAAGAAAAAAAAAGTATTCACGCTAAATTATTTGCTTCTAAAAATGGACACTAATAAAAGCTCAAAATAGAGTCTGAACTTTACAACTCTTGTTTTAAATGCGGTTTTCATTAAGTAAAAAGGCAAAACATCACAGAGAGAAAAGTATTAAGAACTATTTTTCATAATTATGTCCAGATGAGATTATTTAAAGAAGTGTATCTGATCGTAACACATCAATTTTGTTTAAAAAAGAACTTATATTTGCATGTAAAGGGGAGCCGCTGTTTGGGCGGGCATATTCAGTCAGTGCTTCTGTCAAAAAACACGCTGCACGGTGTGCTTACCTGGGAGAGCAAAGGAAAAGAATGTTCTCTGCCTCTGGCAAATAAATCATCTGCCCTTTCAGCCTCAGACAGCTGATCTCCACCCCCGTCAGCTCGTCCTCATTCTCCACAGTCTCCACATTAAGCAGGCCCTCCTGTCACGAATACATCACACATGAATATTTCATCACACTGTATGTTCTTCTCTAAATCCCCCTCAAAACTGGCAACTGCTCTTTGGAGGAAAATCATTTCAGATTTCATGTGTGTGTGTGTGTGTGTGTGTGTGTGTGTGTGTGTGTGTGTGTGTGTGTGTGTGT